GCACCCACCTTCCCGGCGGGGCGCTCGGCCCGCCCGCTGCGTCCGCCCCCGCCCGCCCGGCATTCCTTGCGGGGCATGTGGCTTCTTGCCGGCCCCGGGGGCACGCAGTTGGCTGGCGGCCGGGAGGGGCGCGAAGGGAGCGGGGGCAGCGACGCAGGCGGGGCGGGAGGAATGCCAGGGCCTCCCACGGGTCCGCGCCCACTCGGGCCGAGGGCGCCAGGCCCGGGCGAGGTTTGGCGGCCCTCACCTGCGCGCCCATGGATTGCGCGCGCGCGCCCTCCTGAACTCGTGTAGCGCTGTCCGGGGTTTGTCCACCGCGAGGCCATGGGACGGTCCCCAGTGCCTACTAGGTTGAGGGGGAGATGTCTCAATGAGCTGGAAAATGTCTAGCGATTGCCCAAGATCACGCACACTCTACCTGACGGAGGCTGCGCTGGAAGCTGGGGCTCAGCCTCAGTTTACTGCAAACAGGAGCATCCTAAAATCCAAGTGTCCCATCATAGGTCTTGATGCCTCTGGCATCGCCCTGATGTGGATTCACGCTGCTGCCCTCAGTCCAGCTTCCAGGTGAGGGCGAGACCCCGAGGGCCGTAAGGATGGCCATAATCCCTTCCCTTAACTGAGGAGCAGACGTCACTTGGGTGGGCAAGGGTCACACACAGATATCCTGAGGTGGTAACATCTAGTGGCTAGGGGCCTGCGCTCTGGAAAGGTGAGGCCCAAGTTCCAATCCCAGGGGTTGTGACACCCTAGGGCAGGGACTGTGGCCTGAATGTCACCCCTCCCTCTTCCATTCATACGTTGAAACCCTAAGCCCCATTGTGACTGTGTTTGGAGATAGGGCTGTAAGGAGGTGTCAAAGCCTGAGGTCTTAAGAGTCACCGTGCACTTCTGTCTCCATGGTGGAAGGACACTAGAAAGTGGCCATCCATGAGGCACGGAGCTGTCACCAGGAGCTTGCCTTCCCAGGCTCCAAAACCATGAGAAATAAATGGATGCTGTCCATGCCACCAGGTCATCTCTATGGCAGCGCAGGCTGCCGGACACCGCAGGTTAGCTGACCTCTCTGCACTCCCACTTCTGCCTACGGACAATGGGCCTGACAGTAGAGTCTGTCCCAGTGGCAGCTATGTGACATAGGCATTGGGGGACAGTTCCTGCACATTGAGGAAAGCTGCTAGGATGGTGGAGACAAATGATATCACTGAGGGTGGCTTTAAAGTCTCTATTGGATGAGATTTGTTTTTAAGTCAACCACTTGCAAGCTCTGGCACTTCCTTAGAGCTCATTGCCTAGGAACCTTTGTGTGGGGCATCCCTGCCTGGGCACTGTGCCCCTCACAGCCCAACTCAGATGTGCTGCTCTGTCCTGCCAGCACCTGGGAACCTGCTGTGTGCTCACTGCCCTCGCATTATCAATGCCCTTTCCTAACCCTGTGTCACGCATCATGACACATGTCACATGTGTAAGTTTTCTGCTGGTACAAGGGCTCGGTTAATAGGCTCCTTAATAGTTCATAAGCTCCCTGAGGGCAGGCTGTCTAGCTCACCACCGACTCCTTGTACCTGAGACAGTGCCTGTCACCAGGGCAAGACCAGGGAAAGGCAAGCCAGCTGCTGGGCCTTGATCTTCCAGGAAGTCCTCTCTCCGGAGCCACTGCACTGGCCAGGCTGATGGGGGAAGCGTGGCCTCCATCCGCTTTGTACCCTGAGCTCTTGGCTTGTCTTACTCTGGTCTGCCCGCTCAGCACCAAGCATATGTCTCACTCAATCGATGTTTGCCAAATGACTTCGCCATCAGATGCCTCACAGCGTAAGGTACTGTCCCCTCCTCCTGCTGGGTCCAGGAAGGATCTCAGCTCTATGAGAGATCCCGGAAGGAAACACAGGTAGGCAGGTTATGCTTTTCAATCCTCACTGCCTCAATGACCCTGCCAGGCAAGGCTGGTGAGGCAGGGATGGAGAGCGAAGTTCAGCAGAGGGACTGAGAAAACCATTTGTTGGCATCTCAAAGTACAGCTGCCTGGGGCCCCTTGCTCTTGGGACTCCTCACTCACCCGCCCACCGGCCCACCATTGCATCATCCGGTCATCGCGGATGGATGCTAAGCATCCCTTATCCAAAATAATCAGGTGGGACCCAGAGCATTTGGAGTTGGAGGTTTCTTGGGCTGGGGATGTCTGCTTAGACTTTACTGGCTGAGCATCCCAAATCTGAAAATCCAAAATGCCCCCCAAATTTGAAATTGTTCAAATGTCAGGTCAGTGCTTCAAAAGTTGCAGATTTCAAAGTATTTTGGATTTTGGATTAGGATGTTCCACCAATACTGAACAGGACAGTTAAGAAACAACCAGAGTGTCAGAGGCCTAGAAAAAGAGTTGCACTGATTATGCTAATTCTGTCTTTTGAGATGGTCAAGCACTGAGTTTCCCATTCAGTTCTGAGCCTCCTGGCTGCCACTGCAAGAAGGGACACGCAGTGAGTTTCCGCCTTCTCGTTATTGGACTTCTATTTATGTACTGTAAGCACAAGCGAGTTCTCTCCACTCTGGGAAGAGTCCAGCTGCCTGGAGTGATACAGGACCAATCCTCACTTGCATGACTCACATGTGTTACAGCTCTGGACTGGACCCTGGACACTGCTGCCCTGCAATGGAAAGAGATTGTCCATAGAACCTGAATAGAGGTGGGAGGTGGGATGTGTGAGGGTCAGATGAACTTCTGTTTGGGGCGAGAGAGGGTGCAGTGAAGCAGGCCCCGAACTTCGCAGGCGCTACCTGCATAGGAAGGGGCTCGGGGTGCGGGTCCACCGCCCAGTGGAGGGTCCAGGCCTCTGGCAAGCCTCCCTCCTGCTGGCTCCTCTGAGTCTGCACATGCAGAGATTAAGCTCACTGCAAACTCAGGAGGAGGGGGCCGAGAGCAACCAGGAGCCTGCAGCTCTACTTTCACCCCAGGCTTGGTGCCAGCATCCTGGAATGCCCAGCAGCCAGTGTGGCCAGGGGACCAGGATCACATGCCCACTGGGTTTGCCTAGAGTTGGCACCACAAGAATCTGGCAGTCTGGTCTGGTAGCCACCACAGCACCCTCTGCTGTGTCCTCCAGTAACAAGAGACAAGGACCAGAGCTGGGCACCTTGAGCCCTGACCTTGTCCTTGTTGTGCCACAGACATTCTAGGGGATTCTGAGAAAAGTCCTCATTTACCCTTCTGGAAAAATAAAATCCCTACCTCTTAGTTCTTAACACTACACCATGGGGGACAGAATGGGGAAGGCTTGGAATTATTAAAGGCAGTAGTTGAATTTATACACCCACCAAGCGCTGCCCATGGGAGGAATAAATTAGGTGTCTTCAACTCATATGGAAGACAGATTTGCAGATGCTGGGAGATACTTTTGTGAGTTGCAGAAGACATATTTATTTAAAAAACACTATTGAATTCACAAGAGCCATATGTCACTGTATATTCTGTTAATCAACTGATACCAGCAGACAGTCCCAGCTGAGTGACCTGGAGAAAATTCATTCACTTCACTCCCCATTTCTTACGTGGGGCTGAGGTCGGAACCTGCCCCACAGGCTGCTTCATCCAGCATCGTAACTGGCCTATGAAAAGCAGCTTGCTCATTACTGTCCTCCACTTTATTATTAGGTAAAAGTTTAATTGAGATTGGGTGTGGTTAGTAAAACATTTTGTTGAAATTAAAGGATGGGTCTGGACAAGGAAAACAAAAAACACAAAATACAAACCACAGCAGGGCCAGGCCATGGCTGTAGCTCCATGGTGCAGAGCTTGCCCCGCATGCCTTGGTTGGGTCACCAGTACCAGAAATGGGGGGGGGCGGGGCTGGGGATAGGGCTCCGTGGCACAGCACCTGCCTGGCTAGTGTGAGGTCCCAAGTTCAATTCCTGCTACCAAAAGAAAACAGAAATGGTGGGGGATAATTCACAAGTGGTTACTGTTCACAGTAGATAAATACTTTTTATCAACCAGCACTTTAAAAAAGTGGGGAAGAAAACTTAAACAAGCCACTGCAAAAGAAGAGATAAATGATCAGTGTGCTTTATAGAAAACTGTGAAATCTTATTTTTGCATACAAACATATGCAAAAAAAAATAAAACACTGAACCAGGCATGGCAGCACATGCCTGTAATCCCAGTGATCTGGGAGGCTGAGGCAGAAGGGTCCCAAGTTTGAGGGCAGCCCAGGCAACTTAGCTACTTAGTAGGAGCTTGTCTCAAAATAAGAAAAAAAGATGTAAAGGGCTGTGGATGTAGCTCAGTGCAGAGGCCCTGAGTTTAATCTCTAGTACCAAAAAACAATCTCCAGTATTAAATTGGCAAAAATTTTAAATCTTGATGATATTCAGTGTTGGCAAGAGTGTGAGGAAATGAGCACTTCAGGGCCTCCACAGTGGAGTGTAATTTAGTAGTGCCTCCAGAGTAATTTGGCAACTAATATCGCAAGTTGAACCCTTTGTAGAGAGCAATCTCACATCCGGGAATTTCTCCTAAGGATGTAATTAAATTCTCAGCAAAGATTTACCCACAAAGCTGTCCTCTGCAACATGATGTCTGCTAGCAAAAAAAAAAGAAATGATTTAAACCTGTGAAAGAGGAGAGACATTAATATACAGCATACAGTG